GCATACAAACAAGACAATGGAAAATATTTTTTCCCATAGTTTCCTAAAATCTCTTTAATGTAATATTCAGTACCAAATAAAGATTAATTGAAAGAGGTAGCTTAAAAAAATCCAATGTTGCTAACTCAAGGAAGGAAACGCTGCTACCATTAAGTATGCAGTGCAATAAAAATTTTCTTCATAAAGCAAAAATTATACCTGCACAATGACTGCATCTCATTCAATCTTCAGCAATAACATGAAAAAAGGTTTTGACTTCACTTTTCCTTGGAATTAAAGACTGACCTGAAATTCTAGGTGAAGAAAATAGGTTATTATTAGTATTTCCCTAAGGTATTCTATTCTTCAATATACTGTAAATTGTATTTTTAATCTGGGTTGACAATATCAAATGTTTCCATAAAGTTCTGCTCTTTTCAGATTATACACAGATGTTGGCTTCTTCCCACCTAAATACTTAGCAGCCTTTCAACTTTTATTGATCATTTAAAACCATTTAAGACCAAAATCTGAGCAACACTTCATGAATTTAGAAGGCTTCATGGATACTGCACTGTTCAAATACAGCTGTTTAGTATTTCTGTAAATACAATCCATCCCAATTAGAATCAGAATTACTGATTACTATTATTGTCATACTTTATCTGGCTCCTGATTGACTATAAACAATACGAGCAGTAACAAAGTTGGCTATGAAGCAGTAATATTTTGTTTTAGAGACTCATGCACCATTTGTAATTGAGGGGCAGATATACAAAGGGAACAGTGATTGGTCCAGACAGCCATGTTATATGTATCCACATAAAGGTGTGAATTATGCCACCTCATGGCTTTGCCCCATTCCATTTCTGGAGGTACAGAATCTTTTTACAATCTTTTGGAGACAGGAAGCAGCCAACTCCTGCTGTGCATTCCCGCAGTTGTCTGCATTTTTGCTGGCATACATGCTACCACCCAGAATTTGAGTTTGTTTGTTTTTAAACTGTGTTCCAAAAGGAAACTGAACTCTCTTCTAGACATTTAATATTTAGCACTGCCCTCAAATATACCAGCTCTACCATCTACTTCATTCTAAAAAACTCCTTGTGACCTTCAATTATCATTTCATAAAAGTCTGATGAGTGAACTTACAAATTCTAGCAAGTGGTCTTATCTTGTTTATCCTGATCTTCAAGAGTGAGCTTTGATATTTACAATTAAAATAAAACCCTGCAGACTTGTGTATGATATATGGGACAGGCAACTCTTTCAAATTATGCAAATTCTATACTTTGTTTTTTAATATTAATCTCTTTGGCTAATTACTGTCTCTGCAAGCAGTGAGAAGGGTTTCAGAAACAATGGTCATTAAAGTGCAAAGAGCACTAAGGCATGAACAAACAAAGGTAGTTCTCCCTTTTTCTGTCCTAAAGAGATGCTTGTAAATACTAGTTTTACCGGGTCACATGGAAGAATGCCAAATGAACACACAGAACTAGTTTTAGACATTGATTCTTTCTAGCTTAGAAATCTGGCAACTGCTTAGACCAATTCCATAGAACTACTTATGTATAGTACCGGTCCAAACTGATTTGAGGACACTTAAAAGAGCTCTAGCACTAGGGTCACTTCAAATGAATCAAAGTTAAACAAAAATCAATTCCCTATTTATATTTTTTTCTTAATATTTTTCACTAGGTTTGCAATCAAAGCTATTTTAGGATGATTCAAGAAGCTATCAGTAGCAGAGAGGAGATGAAATTAAGTACATTTAGGCTGACTTTCAAGGTAACTTTTTAACGCATCTATTAGACTGGAATAGTCCTATCACATGGGTCATTTGAGGGTTACAGCAGATCGGAGTAGGCACTGGCAACTATATGATCATGAAGAATGCTGCACTGAATGCTAGAGGTGAATGAGCTACAACATCAAATAAGCCCTTTCCATATGATTTCTATAATTATAGAGATTTTTCCATCTAAAAATCTTTCCTCCACTCTTTATACCCTACAATGAATTCATAGAGTACTGAGACTCAACACATTTACATGCATAGTCCTGCACTAGAAATAATTAATGTAAGAAGAGCTGTGCATAAAGACTTCGCTGGTCCACCCGGAGGTGTGCATGTACATGCTAACTTCCACCATACAATCCTGGGGTTGCCCACAGATTTAATACTGAAATACTGACACGAATCTATTACAGTTTTAAAATAAACTGAGAAGCTAATGCAATAGCTTCCATAAGCAAATTCAAGACAGAAAAATGTTGACCAAGTCAACATGGTCTAGAAGTTAGAGCACATCCCCTGCCCCACCCTGACAACAGAGTTGGGAAATGATAAGAAGATGGGTCTTGCTGGAAGCAGTGCTGGCCTGAACTCTGCTGTGGGAAAGTCCCAATTCTCTCCAGTAGAGCCCCATAAAGAGTCACGGCTGAAAAACAACTTCTACAAAACAAGGAAATATAGGTAAGAGACTGACAGCTACCAGCTTGGATTTAGTCTTATGTCTACACAGGACCAAGAACCCTGAATAGTGCAGATCATTTATGTAAAGTTAACTTAGCAACAATGGAATAAACGCTCTCCCCATGCTTATTTTGTCAAACTTCAATCAAGAATTGCAAGGATTAAATCTGTCAGATCATCAGTGCTATTTTAGTGTCACTAACAGTGATACTTTTCTTTCTGAACTGGTGTATACTCGACAGTTTCCCTGGGCAGATGTCCAATATGTGCTGCCCATACATGGGAAGAATTAGAATCAGGCCAGCATTGAACCATTAGACTATACTTGGAGGTAGGGTAGCCATACAAATTTTGTGACTTGGGCCTCTAATTAAAACAGGCACTAGCTGCAGAGTTCAGAAGACCATGCACTGTCAATCTGAAAAGTTCTGCTTAGCAATATTGGTCTGCCTAGATACAGTGTATGCTGCCCATACTTGCCATGGAATGCAGCCTCTGTGGGTATAAGGGTCTCCCAAAAAAGTGCAATTAATTTATTTCACATAAAAGTTTCTTCATCCTTGGTTTTGCAATTATATGTATAAGAGTGCTTGTATGAAATGGAGGTAAATTTGACCATAAATTAGGGACCGTCACAAATTTTGACCATGATCCTACAAAGAAATCCACCCACCTGAACCACTGCAACCACATGGAGTAACAATGGAAAGTTACATGGATGGATCCCTTTGCAGGTTTGGGACTTTTAGAAATCCAGAATGTAGATAAAACCAAATACCCAACAAGGCCAAGAGCGCTAGTCAGTCTCACAAGGGAGTCCCTATTTCCACTGCTCAAAGCCAGAAAGAGGCAGTGATTCCATTGTGGAGATTGATCCCCTAAGAAATATAGGGTTTGTGACAGCATCAATACAGTTCCTAGGTACTGCAGCATTAACTTCAGTAAGAGCTATTGCACATTTAGAACCTTTGAGGAAAAAAATCATCAAGAACCTAATGAAAAGAAAAAAACCTTCCTCCCATGTTCCTTATAATCCCCATATTTTAAAGTGTCAAATGTCAAACTAGAAAAAAAAGCACAAAACACAAACTTAATTATAACTCCAAGAACTCCACTCAGTTATTTCCCTATGTATAAATAAGGCTGAAAACATCCAGATTCGTTTTAAAAAGTTCTATTAATTTTGCTATCACATCCACAAGAGCTGTGCAAGAGTTAGGAGAGACCGAAGCGTGGGCTGCTGCTCAAATACGTCCCACTGATGTCTACAATGCAGTCAGCAGTCCTCTTCATCTTCCAGACTGAAGTGCTGCCTGCAGAGACTACTGAGCCCCCTTACAGCTCGCCCTCGTGCTCATAGCACTGTATCAATCTGTTCAGAACAAGATGGAGAACTGCATGCTATGGAACATGTAGTCTTTGTGGGCTTCCTCTCTGCACTGAAGACGAGGATGGCAGCATGACATTCGAGGCTGGCTCCAGCTTTTCTGCCACCCCAAGCGGCAAAAAAAAAAAAAAAAAAAAAAAAAAAAAAAAGCCGACCGGCGGCAGCTCAATCGTGCCGCTTCATTCTTCAGCGGCGGGCCCTTCACTCCCTCTTTGAGCTGCCACCAAAGAGGAAGAGAGGAAGAGAGGGACTGAGGGATCTGCCGCCGAATTCCCGCCAAAGACCCGGAGGTGCCGCCCTGAACCGGACAGAGTGCCGCCCCTTTGTATTGGCCGCCCCAAGCACCTGCTTCCTTCGCTGGTGCCTGGAGCCGGCCCTGATGACATTCCACCTAAGTAACAGAGCTACAGCTCTTGGGCTCCTTGAAAGTTGCCTATGCAGCTCTTGACTGGACAAAGTTTAGATAGCCTGCTGTAAGTTTCAGATCCGATCTTCTGCTTCCTTCTCGAATAACTGAGTTTTTTGCTCTGACTCTGGAATATGTTCAGTAAACACCCTTCTCCCCAATCATCTGATCCCTGTATTATTTTCCAATAGAATAACCAGCTACCTTTACACTTTTAATATGAAATTTGATCCCATAAACTGCAAAAAATTATATAGAAGAGCTAGGAGGATAAAGAGCTAGGAGGATAAAGTCGACACTAACTAGGAATATTGAATCCGTACCCAAAGGCCACATCTATTAGTTGGCAAAACTTCAACACTCAACATCCTTCTATTTCAGTGTACTTTAAAAAAAGTTTAGTGTAAACAAAAGAATACAGTTCTCCCTCAGCAAGGTCAAGGGAAACTTCCGAAGAACTTTATCTATATATAGAAATTTAAATAAATACTCAAATCCTCTTGCAATGATCCCCAAGACACTAGCAGCAGCCTGGACAGGCAATTTCAGTACTCTGTACCACTGCAGATCTCATTTTTCTCCATAGCCACCTCCCATAAGACATTCACTATATACCGTGGAAAAACAAGTCCCTCAGTTTACATGGCAAAGTGAGAAAAGATGAGAGGAACAAAATCAAACAGAATACGCAACAGAAATTCAGAGCTGTCCTGAGATTTACAGACTGTCATGACAAATCTGTGAGAGAAAGAACCAAAATAAAAGAAAAAAAAGTAAGTTTTGAGAGGGGCAAGGCAGAGGAGACAGATGGGGGAGAAGAGATCAGCAATAATGGGGATTTCTGTTTTATTTAAGTCCATCTGCCCTTTCCTATTAGTTGGTCCCTCCAACCTCTGATGGTTCCTCTGGCCATCCACCCTAGAACATCACTGAGTACAGCTATCTTTTGTTGGTGTTCCCTAACCACTTGAGGCATGAAATTCCATTCCAGTGAGCGGATGCAGAACTGGTAGAGAATCCATAGTTCATTCTTCCCAGTGTGCTGTAGGTAACTTAAGAGAGGATTTCAGGAATTTGTTCTTATCATACTGGCCTATAGTACCTTCTGTGTCCAGTTTAAGTCTTTAGATTTCATCCATCTGAAGAAACCTAGTTGAAACCTTTCAAGTGTATGGATTTCAGCTGCTTCAAAATCAACATGAGCCCACCTTGAAGGAAAAATGTGAACACATGCAGCGGAAGTCTGTCTGCAAGTTGGATCAGTTCTCAAGTTCGTTTCAGAAATACGTCAAATACCTCCCCACCATCTTTGGCCTCAAACCTAGCCTGCAATCATAATTTTGAGCCACAAACATTGAATGGTTCTCATGAGTAAGAAAAAAAAAAAAAAATCAGCAGTGGTCACCAGTCAAACCACTGTAATGCATCTGAACAGTACTCGAATTCATCTCCCAACGCTGGAAAGGCAGAGGCACTTGCCCTGTTATAATTCACCCACAGACGGTTCCAGTTTTATTCTTACGGGTGGATCTGGCTGGACAAGTTAAAAAAAAGGCATAAAAAGGAAAGCTTCCTCTTGTTACTTGATCATTTGGGTCTCTTCATCAGCATCATAGAATTCTTCATCTTCACTTTCACTCCCTGCAGAGCCATCTTTGTCTGCAGACTAGAAAAAAAATGAAATTGTTAACACATTCAACAGTTAACATTGAAAAAATGTACTTTTACAGCACCTTCAGAGCATCTCAAAGTGCTCTTTACAAATAGGAAGCATTACAACTCTACTGAGAGGTGGGGAGAATTTTGCCCATTTTACATAGGGGAAACTAAAGTACAGAGAAGTTAAGTGACCTGCCCAAGGTCAGTTCTTCTTGAATCTGAGGATTTTAGATTCATACTTCTTGGAACCCTCTTAGAAAATGATGGGCTTTTATCCAACATGAACTCCTGTGCTCCCTTTAGCAGACTAAGGAGGTTGGATGCAGGACAAATGAACTGACTAGGATGGCTTGATCTGGCATTCTACCTTCTCGGCTCTCTGTGAGCTGAGGGGTGAAAACATTATCTACTCCCTGTCTCTCTGTGATGTACTAGAAGCAGAGGCTCAGGCAGCAGAGTTTGGGGGCAAATGCCTCTTCATCCTTATTTATCATGAGTAGACATCTTCCTACACAAGCTTCACCTTAAAAAAAACAAAATAATAAGGCCATTTGCCAGGATTACCTGCCATGGAGATAAACAAACGAAGTTCAACTGGCCAACAATATAAAAAGCCTAAACGCAGGCGAAGAGACACTCACGGGCCCAGAAAGTTTATAGAACAAGCTACTAACTATTGGAAAAAACAAAACAGCAAAAAACTGATTGTGCCTGACACAAAGGGAAAGAGGCTCTGCAGGTGCTGAAACTGTTGGAAAGGGAGGAACTGTGGGACAAAAGGCTATTCTGTACTTTTGCATTCTACAATACAAGGGTGTGCCACATACATTCCTGCAAGCTATTTTCACTACTTGAAAAATTTGTGGCTTGCGATCCAAGTCAGGTGACTATCTAGGGGCAGAAAAGGGAACTGCAGAGACAATTTGCTAAATGAGAGCTGAAGCTAGATCTCCTTACTCCAAATGCTGTACTTTGGCCACAAGATCATTCTTATCTTCCAAGCAAAGGAATTTTCCCTACTTGCACTAATTACATATAAGAGGGGAATTGTTTTCCCCCCAAAAAAGCTTAAGAGTGGTGCAAGTGTGAAAATACACACATTTTAAATTTTGTTTGGATGAACAACATTCTTTCAGACAGAGCATTTCCAGCAATAAGCACCTCTAACACCTTGGTAGGGAACTGTGCTCTGCACTGACTAAAAGAATGAGTGATAAATTGTGAAAAAGAATAGAATCATAGGACTGGAAGGGACCTCGAGAGGTCATTTAGTCCAGTCTCTGGCACTCATGGCAGGACTAAGTATTATCTCCAGACCAACCCCAACAGGTGTTTGTCCAACCTGCTCTTAAAAACCTCCAATGATGGAGATTCCACAACCTCCCTAGGCAATTTATTCCAGTGCTTAACCACCATGACAGTTAGGAAGTTTTTCCTAACGTCCAACATAAACTGCCCTTGCTGCAATTTAAGCCCATTGCTTCTTGTCCTATCCTCAGAGGTTAAAAAGAACAATTTTTCTCCCTCCTCCTTGTAACAACCTTTTATGTACTAGAAAACTGTTATGTCCCCTCTCAGTCTAAACAAACCAAATTTTTTCAATCTTCCCTCATAGGCCATGTTTTCTAGACCTTTAATCATTTTTGCTGTTCATCTCTGGACTGTCTCCAATTTGTCCACATCTTTCCTGAAATGTGGCGCCCAGAACTGGACACAATACTCCAGCTGAGGCCTAATCAGAGCAGAGTAGAGCGGAAGAATTACTTCTCATGTCTTGCTTACAACACTCCTGCTAATACATCCCAGAATGATGTTCACTTTTTTTGCCACAGTAGTACATTGTTGACTCATAGTTAGCTTGTGGTCCACTATGACCCCCAGATCCCTTTCCGCAGTACTCCTTCCTAGGCAGTCATTTCCCATTTTGCATGTGTGCAACTGATTGTTCCTTCCTAAATGGAGGACTTTGCATTTGTCCATTTACTTCAGACCATTTCTCCAGATCATTTTGAATTTTAATCCTATCCTCTAAAGCACTTGCAACCCCTCCCAGCTTGGTATAATCCGCAAACTTTACAAAGTGTACTCTCTATGCCATTATCTAAATAATTGATGAAGATATTGAACAGAACCAGACCCAGAGCTGATCCCTGCAGGACCCCACTCATTATGCCCTTCCAGCCTGACTGTGACCCACTGATAACTACTCCCTGGGAACGGTTTTCCAACCAGTTATGCACTCACCTTATAGTAGCTCCATCTAGGTTGGATTTCCCTAGTTTATTTATGACAAAAATCACAAATACCACTTCCTAAAATATCCTTTACTTGGATGAGACATGCAGGGAAAGCAACTGACCCAGCCCAATCCTGTTCAGCTTGCAATATCTGTCTTTCATATTGTCTAAAGTGCTTTCGAACCCAATAAACAAAGCACCCCTGCAACAAAGCCCTCTGGGATAGAAGGCAGCCACCAACCTATGCGTTACAGTTTTATAATATCATAATGATTTATGGGTCTTCCTTAGCATGGAGAATTATCACACTCAGTGTATGTAACTTACAGATCTTTAAGCCCACAAAGCAACTGCTCCAAGAGAAGAGGGGAAACATTAACACATGTATTGGCATAGAATCACACAAGTCTTCTTACTTTGCCCAACCCAGACTAACAACATTGGACACAGTCAGATTTTCTCCACAAATCTTTGAGCACAGTGGGAGATTATCCAAACATTTCAGCTCTTATGGATCATATAAAGTGGCTACACCCAGTCCTTGTCTATAATTAAGGGGTTTGCCAGTATAGTTGTACCAGCAAATCCTCTGAGTATAGATGCAGTTTATACCAGCAAAAGAGTTGGTATAAACTGCATCTATACCAGGAGGGCGAAAAAAAGCTATTCCAGCAAAATGGCTTTGATGGTATAACTGGGGTACAACGCTATACTGATGATGCAACACTAGGGCTTCACAGCTAAGTCAGAAAAAATCACTCCACTAATCAAGTCTACGATTCTATGACATAGCTATGTTGGCAAAATTTAAATGTACACTAGACATCAGTGGGTATCCAGCAGAACAACGTGTTAAAGGCAAAGGTAGAAATTCAGAGGAATTCTGAACAGTTTGAGTAGTAATAACGGTCAATGAAGGGATAATTAAGGAAATCATGTTACACTGCTTTTTGCATTCCCAAAATCATTCCAGAAGAGCTGGGCTGTAACTGGATATTGTCCAAGGTGAATGTCATATTCCTGAGTGCAGTTAGAGGGACGTACTCCACTTTGAAGAGACAATGTATGCTGTGTTGAAGGTGGTCAGAAACGACAATGGATTCCACAAGAGAAACTCTGAATTAGTCATCCAGAAATCCTAATGCTCGTTATAAGTCTTATGGCAGCTCCACTAGGCCTTTCTATCACCTTTATCAGACAGCGTTAATGTTTAACAGCTTTCAATTTTCCATATGTTTTATCTGTGATTGTCTTAAAAATGTATAATGTGTCAGAGGCCATCCTGGGTGTAACTTCACTGAAGTAGACAGCGTCACTGCAGACATGAAACTGGCTCCTTTGTTTTATCTGGATTCATATCAGATGTATATCTGGGGAAGTGTGTTCCTAAAGACTTTGGGTATTTTTTCATTTCATTTAATGTGACAAAATGTATCCTTCTAGTGCTCCAAGTCAATCTATAATCTTTATAAACCCTACAATACTTATAGGTTTTGGACTAGTGTTCAAAAACCTAAGATCCCTCCCCAAACTTAATCACTCTTTCCACTCTCATTTACTTCTCCCTCCCCAGGAGAAAAAAAATAGATGGAAGAACTCTCATACCTCAAGACATGACTGGAAGGTCAACAAAACCTGATGAATGAACAGAGGGAAGCAAACTCAGCAGCAAAGTAAACCTCATTGAAAATACCTTGCCTCCAAGTCTCCTCATTATTAAGCCTGGGAGCTGTTAGATCATGCATCTCAACTAATCTCAGCTACTATGTCAGGTGTGAGGCAGACATCAGAGTTAACCAGGTTCTAACCAATTTAAGGCTTTATATGTTAGAACCAACACCTTAAATTGCATCCAAAAACAAAGTGGAAGCCTGCACAGATTATATAATACAGGCACAACCCTCCCTCACAAACTAGCTGCTGCATCCTGTGCCTTTCTGAAAGGTCTTACAGACCAGCCTTGCACGACCCATGCTGCAGAGGTGACAGAGGCAGATATCACTGTGTTAGGGTCCGTTACCCTAAAAGAAAAAGTTGTAACTTTCTCACCAAGCATAGCTTGAAGGGATGAGTTCACCTAGCTAGCATCTGAGCCTGCACTTGCAGAGAGTATTTCAAATATGATGGTAAGATCACTAAACTATCCCCTATGTCCCCGTGGGGCCTGTCATCCACAGACTAAGCACCATCTAGTTTGGCACTCCTAAAGTTGACAGCTGTAATCAACACACTACAATGGTAGAGAAGTATTAAGAAAAATGATGTACCCGGGAGCCACCTAGTGCTTGCAATGACATAGCTTCATCCCCCAGTCTCCAGTACGAGCACACCTGCAAGTCCGATATCGTCTCCAGCAAAGGGCAGTTTAGTGTTTCTGGCAATAACAAACTCAGGAACCCCGACAACAGGCCAGTCACTCCAAACACGATGTATGGAAGAGACCACTGCACAGATTTCTGGAAATTAAGAGCAGAGATAGTTAAGGAAAGCGGGACCAATATATGGCATTTTACATATTCAAGCACTTAATTTTCAGCCACCCTGTGAGGTAGGTATTGTGACACTACACCCCATATTCTTCATAGAGATATTATTATATAATAATGGCATAACCATGATGTATTTTATGCAAGAAAGGTCACGTGAGATATCATTTAAAAGATTATGATTTACTGAATACGATTATAATATTTGTATTCATGTATCATTTTGGCATCTGAAGTTAGGAATATTGTTTATGCATCTATTACAAATGGGTTTACACCTGGGGAACGCCCACTAGGCAGAATGCACTCAGCCTAGATGGCTGGCTGGGAAGGGCCATTATGGAGAACAATAGGTCATAGAAGACGCTAATCTCCCACCAGGGAGCCTTCCTGAGGATGCTACAAACAGCCTCTGAGTCATGGATGCTGTGAGCCTACAAAGACATGTGACCAAGTCACCTGGTACTGGACTCCATCTTGGAATACTAGTGTTTTTCCACTGACCAGGCATGGGAACCAAGCTTGGAGACAACAGGTTCCCGCCATATGCAAAAGCTATTTAAGGCAGGAGAGTGACATCATCAGGGTTCTTCGCTGATTCCCCACCCAAAGGATCAGAGGGGTAGCCGTGTTAGTCTGAATCTGTAAAAAGCAACAGGTGCCACAGGACTCTCTGTTGCTTTCCACCCAAAGGAGACACTTGGAAACACCTGAGAAACAAGGACTGGACTGGGAGAGAAGGGTTGGACCCAGGCTAGAGGGATTTCTAGCCTGTGAAAGGAATACCTGGGGTTTTTAAGCTGAAAGCAACGACAGCTGGCCCCTTAAGAATCTCTGCAAGCCGCCTGAATCAACAATTAGGGTGAGAATTTGCTACTCATATCCAATCTCTTTAGTATATTAAGCTTTGCTTTGATCTGTTTGCTATCCCTTATAATCACTTAAAATCTATCTTTTGTAGTTAATAAACTTATATTTGCTTGGTCTAAAACCAGTACGTATGAGAGTCATAACCAGGGGGGCAGAAGCTGTGTATATTCCTCTCCACATTGAGGGAGGGGGCGAATTTCATGAGCTGCACAGTTCTCTGTGCAGCACAAGACGTTATAATTTTAGGTTTACCGTCCAGAGGGGGTGTGTGCAGTTGAGTAATTGGGCAGTTCCTTAGCTGAAGCCTTCCCATGCAGAACTGATCACAGCATCTGTATGTTTCTGCAGCTGGGTGTGTCCCTACCTCTATGTGTGCCAGTGAAGGGGCAGACTGAAGCTTGGAAGAGGGCTTGACAGGCTGGTGACAGCAGTACAGTGTAAAGGGAACCCAGGCTGATGGGTCAGGTGGGCTCAGTGGCACCCCAGTTCCAGGTAGCACCCCAGGGGGAACCCATCACAAGTATGATACATAAGGCTGCGTGTCTGTCACAGAGGTCAGGGAAGTCACAGATTCCGTGACTTCTGCAGCAGCCAGTGCTGGCTCAGGAGCTACCCGAGCTGGACAGCCCCTAGGCCAATAGCAGCAGTTTGGGTGTGTGGGAGGGGGCTATGGGCTAGGGGTGCGCTTGCCTCAGGGGTGGGGCGGCTCCCCAGCTGCCACTAGCATAGGCAGAGAAGGGGCCAGGAGGCTCCGTGCGCTGCCTGCGCCCGCAGGCCCCGCCCCCGCAGCTCCCATTGGCTGCGTTTCTCAGCCAATGGGAGCTGCACCTACGGAGCCAGCGCCTGTGGCAGGAACAGCGATTGGAGCCCCACGGGCCCGGTAGGGAGCATGCGAGCCCTGCCAATCCCCCCCAAGCACCAGCAACATGGCCTCCCCCCAGCACCAGCGGGAGCCCCAGGCCACATGCCCCTCCCCCTCCCCCAAGAACCCCCTCTCCCCCAAGTTTTAGTTAGGGGTATATAGTAAAAATCATGGACAGGTCGTGGGCCGTGAATTTTTGTTTACTGCCTGTGACCTGTCCATGACTTTTACTAAAAATACCTGTGACTAAAATGTAGCCTTAATGATACATAAAGATTGGAACAGAAGATTTCAGAAATGCTTGGAACCAATCTTATCGATACCTCTGGATCCACAGGTTTTTGGAAGGAAAATTTTAAATAAGTGCCTGCTAAATTCATGCATTCAAGCTCTTGGCTATGCAATTTTGACACAAATGCTGATTTGTGCACACAAATTGAGTAGATGTCAAATGCAAAACCAAGTTTGAGGAAGCAAAAGTGTGAGTTGCCTAAAATGGAACTCCAGAAATTTGAAAAGACGGTTACTCACCGTTGTAACTGTTGTTCTTCGAGATGTGTTGCTCATATCCATTCCAGTTAGGTGTGTGCGCGCCGCGTGCACGATCGTCGGAAGATTTTTACCCTAGCAACACCCGGTGGGTCGGCTGTGGAGCCCCCTGGAGTGGCGCCGTTATGGCGCTGGATATATACCCCAGCCGACCCAGCGCCCCCTCAGTTCCTTCTTGCCGGCTACTCCGACAGTGGGGAAGGGGGGCGGGTTTGGAATGGATATGAGCAACACATCTCGAAGAACAACAGTTACAACGGTGAGTAACCGTCTTTTCTTCTTCGAGTGCTTGCTCATATCCATTCCAGTTAGGTGACTCCCAAGCCCCACCTAGGTGGCGGGGTCGGAGTGAGACATTGCTGTGTGCAGAATCGCTGACCCGAAAGCAGCATCGTCTCTGGATTGTTGCACCAGCGCATAGTGGGTAGTAAATGTGTGGACCGATGACCACACTGCAGCTCTACAAATGTCCTGGAGCGGTACTTGAGCCAGGAAGGCAGTCGAGGAGGCCTGAGCCCTCGTGGAATGAGCGGTGATGCGTGGCGTCGGAACACCGGCCAGGTCGTAACAAGCACGAATGCAGGACGTGATCCAGGAGGACAGGCACTGTGAAGAGACCGGTGAGCCCTTCATCCGGTCGGCTACCGCAACGAAGAGTTGCGTCGTCTTCCTAAACGACTTTGTACGGTCAATATAGAAAGCCAGGGCCCTGCGAACGTCCAACGAATGTAAACGCTGGTCCTGACGAGTAGCGTGCGGTTTGGGATGGAAGACCGGGAGGAATATATCCTGGTTCACGTGGAAAGGTGACACCACCTTTGGAAGAAAGGCAGGATGGGGGCGAAGCTGCACCTTATCCTTATGGAACACCGTGTATGGGGGCTCGGATGTGAGCGCCCTGAGTTCCGAGACGCGCCGTGCTGAGGTGATGGCTACCAGGAAGGCTGTCTTCCAAGATAAGTACAGGAGCGAGCAGGTAGCCAATGGTTCAAACGGAGGCCCTGTGAGCCTAGAGAGTACGAGGTTGAGGTCCCACGTTGGAACCGGCTGTCGTTGCTGTGGGTACAGCCGGTCTAAGCCCTTGAGGAATCTAACGACCATCGGGTTAGAGAAGACCGAGGACGTGAGTTCTCCTGGGTGGAAAGCGGAAATAGCGGCGAGGTGAACCCTAATTGAGGATGTCGCCAAGCCTTGCTGTCTTAGGGACAGGAGGTACTCCAGTATCAAGGGGATAGGAGCCTGCGAGGGAGACGTAGCTCGTTGCTCACACCAGCAGGAGAACCTCTTCCACTTGGCTAAATAAGTGGTGCGCGTAGAGGGCTTTCTACTTCCCAGCAGGACCTGTTGGACGGCCTGCGAGCATTGCCGCTCTGAGCGACTCAACCATGAAGCATCCACGCCGTGAGGTGGAGCGACTGCAGGTCGGGGTGACACAGCCGGCCGTGGTCCTGAGAGATGAGATCTGGAGTCAAGGGGAGCGTGATCGGTCTCTGTACTGACAGCTCCAAAAGTGTGGTGTACCAGTGCTGTCTCGGCCAAGCGGGAGCGACTAGAATTACCCGTGCATGGTCCCTGCGGATCTTGAGCAGTACCCTGTGGACCAGCGGGAATGGGGGAAAGGCGTAGAACAGATGGTCTTTCCATGCCATGAGGAAGGCGTCCGACCGAGAGCCCTGGGCTCGCCCGTGTAGGGAGCAGAATGCCTGGCACTTCCTGTTGGCCCGAGATGCGAACAGGTCGATGTGGGGAAACCCCCACCTCTGGAAGACGGAATAGATGATGTCCGGGCGAATCGACCACTCGTGCGTTTGGAAGGACCTGCTGAGACGGTCCGCCAGCGTATTCTGGACTCCAGGCAGGAATGACGCCGTGAGATGTATCGAGTGGGCGATGCAAAAGTCCCACAGGCGAATGGCCTCTTGGCATAGGGGAGATGAGCGGGCTCCGCCTTGCTTGTTGATGTAAAACATGGCCGTGGTGTTGTCGGTGAGAATCAGCACGCAACGGCCCTGTAGGAAGTTGAGGAAAGCCTGACAAGCCAGGCGCACTGCCATCAGCTCGCGGACGTTGATGTGCAGGGCTAGTTGGGACGCCGACCACAGGCCTTGGGTATGATGCTCCCCCAGGTGAGCGCCCCATCCTAGAGATGAAGCGTCCGTAACTAGGTGGAGGGAGGGCTGTGGGGCGTGAAAAGGCACTCCTGCACAGACCGCCGTGCGGTCCGTCCACCATGCGAGGGAGGCCAAGACTGCGGGCGGAACCGTGACCACTATGCTCAGGTCGTCTCGGTGAGGACGGTAAACCGATGACACCCAAGTCTGCAATGGGCGAAGTCGCAGCCTGGCGTGCCTGGTTACGTAGGTGCACGAGGCCATGTGGCCCAAGAGGGCAAGGCACGTCCTTATGGTGGTAGTTGGAAAGGCCCTGAGACCTTGAATAACACTTGAAATGGCCTGAAAGCGGCTGTCTGGCAGGATGGCTCGTGCATGTCTGGAGTCCAGGATTGCTCCAATGAACTCTATTCTCTGAGTTGGCACTAGAGTGGACTTCTCTCTGTTGAGTAGAATGCCCAGCTCGTGGAAAGTGCGTGTCACTATTTGGACATGGGCCTGCACTTGGTCTCTGGTGTGGCCGCGTACCAGCCAGTCGTCCAGGTACGGGAACAGCTGTATCCCTTGTCGACGAAGGAAGGCCGCGACGACTGCCAGACACTTTGTGAACACCCTGGGAGCTGAAGACAAGCCGAAGGGAAGGACTGCGAATTGGTAGTGTACCCTGTTTACTACAAACCGCAGGAAGCGCCTGTGAGGCGGATAAATCGCTATGTGGAAATAAGCGTCCTTCATGTCGAGGGCGGCGAACCAGTCTCCAGGATCCAGTGAAGGGATGATGGTCCCCAATGACACCATGCGGAACCTCAACTTTACTATGAATTTGTTGAGTCCGCGCAAGTCTAAGATGGGCCTTAGACCCCCTTTTGACTTGGGTATCAGGAAGTAGCGGGAGTAAAACCCCCTGCCCCTTAGCTCCGATGGAACCTCCTCTATGGCCCCCATAGCGAGGAGCCCAAAAACCTCCTGTGTAAGGAGTTGCTCGTGAGAAGGGTCCCTGAAGAGGGACGGGGAGGGGGAGTGGGAGGGGGGGGGGCGAGGAAAACTGGAGGGCGTATCCCCTTTCCACCGTGCGAAGGACCCAACGGTCCGAGGTTATACGGGACCAAGCACGGTGGAAGCGGGAGAGGCGATCCCGGAAAGGGGGAGTCGGATCCTGGGTACCGGTCGTGGTGCCGTCCTCGACCGCACCTTCAAAAGGCTTGTCTAGGCCCTGAAGGTGGCCTAGACTGGCCCTGGTTCTGACCGGGTTGAGGGCCGGTCGACCTTCGCCTACCGCCTCGACCCCGCCTCCTAGCAAAGTCCTGTCTTGGACGAGGCGGGGGAGGGTAGAACCGCTGAGGTTGGGGCCTGAAGGGTCTGCGCTGAGGCCCTGGGACATGCATCCCCAGGGAGCGCATCATTGTCCGGGAGTCTTTGAGGTTTTGGAGCCTCGAGTCTGTTTTCTCTGAGAAGAGGCCCTGGCCCTCGAACGGTAGGTCCTGCAGGGTCTGCTGCAGTTCCGGTGGCAAGCCCGACACCTGGAGCCAGGAGATTCGGCGCATTGCTATCCCGGAAGCCAGTGTCCTAGCGGCCGAGTCCGCTATATCCAGGGATGCCTGTAGGGAGGTGCATGCCACCCGCTTGCCCTCCTCTACCAAGGCCCCGAACTCTTCCCTCGAGTCCTGGGGGACCAGTTCTTTAAATTTCCCCATCGAGGACCACATATTGAAGCCATAGCGGCTGAGGAGCGCCTGCTGGTTCGCTGCCCGCAATTGCAGTCCGCCAGCAGAATACACCTTGCGTCCGAACAAATCGAAGCGCTTAGCGTCCTTCGATTTGGGCGCAGCAGCCTGCTGGCCATGGCGCTCCCGTGCATTCACTGATGACACCACCAGTGAGCACGGTTGGGGGTGAGTGTACAGATACTCATGCTCCCGGGAAGGCACGAAGTACTTTCTCTCCACCCCTCTGGCCGTGGGCGGAATAGAGGCCGGGGTCTGCCAGATAGTGGTGGCGTTGGCCTGGATGGTGCGGACCAGCGGTAATGCCACCCTGGATGGAGCATCCGCAGAAATGATCTGCACTATTGGGTCATGGACCTCCGCAATCTCCTCCACCTGGAGGTCCAGATTGCGAGCCATGCGCCGCAGCAGGTCCTGATGGGCCCGGAGGTCTATCGGAGGCGGCCCGGTGGTAGAAGTGCCCGCTACGGCCTCATCAGGAGAGGACGAGGAGGATACCCCCGGTGGCAAGGGGTCCAATGGTTGATCCTGCTCCATGTGTTCCTGGTGATGGGCATCCCCTGCCCCCAGGTCCAGGGCCTCTGCAGGTGCGGGCACTGGAGCCTCCACGTCCCTTGGCGGAGGGCGGGAGATGGTGGACTCTGGGGCCCTAGGCTCCGAACGGCCAGAGCGGGAGGCCGATAGGGGAGCTCCTTGTGCCTGGTGGTAGGCCCAAGGAGTCCAGAAGGACCAATGCGCAGGTCCTTGTATCGGGTCGTCGGTCTCCTGCAGGTGGCCGGGCTCCCCTGTCCCAGAGGACCGCGACGCCGATCTCGACGGCCACGGCGGTGCCGAAGCCGATGCCGTCGGTACCGGATGGTACGGTGCCGATCGGTGCCGACCGTAAGGGGACCTGTCCCTGTGCGGTGCCGGCGAACGGTGCCGGGACCTGGACCGGTGCCGATAGTCCCTCCGGTGCCTGGATCCCGATCTGGAACGTGACGACGATCTGGAGGAGACGTGGTACCGGGAGCGGCCTCTCGAGCCCGAGTGGCGCTCATACCGGTGCCGGGAGCTGCGCCTCGACCCCGATCGGTGCCGGTCGTCACGGCGGTGCCGGGATGTTGAGCGGCGCCGCGAGGAAGATCTGGGCCGCGAGTACGACCGGTGCCGAGGTGACAGTCGGCGCCGGGACTCAGAGCGGCGTCGGGACCTGCTTCGGGATCTGGAGCGGTGCCGAGAGGTTTGTACTGGCGACGGTGGGCGCACCAAGGCAGGTTTCCCTCTAGACTGTAGCACACGTGGGGCTACCGGTGCCGGGAGTTGCGACGGCGCCGGCTCAGTGAGGGCGATCAGGTCTCTCGCGGAAGCGAAGGTCTCCGGGGTGGAAGGGAGACAAGGTTCCACCACCAGCCTTGGTGGTGAAACAGTCCGCACCGGACTCAACGGCCTCGGTGCCGGAGTCGACGGTGTGGCCGCCTGCCTTTGGCGGTCCAGCTGCGGACGCGGCTCTACCCCCGGCACCGGGGGAGCCTGTATCTTCGCGGCAGCAGCGTCCCGTGTCTTAGCGGTCTTCTTATGGCCCGGCGAAATGGATCGGTGCCGAGGCTCTTTGGGCGGGCGCGGTGCCGACGTCGGTCGGTGCCGGACAGTCTTTTCTGCCGCACCGGTCGGGCCCGCCGGGGCGCTGCGCACCGAAGCGCTCGGTGCCGGGACAGGGCGCGCCGAGGGAGGATCCGGACTCAGCGCCGCCTCCATGAGGAGCTGTCGGAGCCTAAAGTCCCGCTCCTTCCTTGTCCTCGGCTTGAAGGCCTTGCAGATAGGGCACTTATCTGCTGGATGAGTCTCTCCCAGGCACTTCAAGCAAGAACTATGCGGGTCGCTGGTTGGCATGTGCTTCCCGCAGGACGCGCACGGCTTAAAGCCAGGAGCCTTGGGCATGGGCCCGGCTGTGCGCCGGGGGGAAAAGGGGAGAAACACCCCCTAAACCCCCGATAACAATTTACAACTATCTATATAACTAAATATAACAAGAACAGTGAAACGCTAGGGAGTGTGGAGATCAGCTAAGCCGCGCTCCACAGTTCCAACGACCGTCAGGGGCGGTAAGAAGGAACTGAGGGGGCGCTGGGTCGGCTGGGGTATATATCCAGCGCCATAACGGCGCCACTCCAGGGGGCTCCACAGCCGACCCACCGGGTGTTGCTAGGGTAAAAATCTTCCGACGATCGTGCACGCGGCGCGCACACACCTAACTGGAATGGATATGAGCAAGCACTCGAAGAAGAATGTACAGTTTCAGGCAAATTGAGAAGCCAGGCAAGTTCATTTTGAAAATTTAATGTGACTGTTAATTGATTTTTTTTTTGTTTTAAGTCTTTCACTCACTTTCAATTGTGAAAAAATTTTAAATCAAGATAGGAAAAGTTAACACAATATTAGACTATGACCAGGCATAAAGGCACAATGTTTTATCAACAATATATACAACCTCATAACTTTCTCCCCCAACAAAAAGACAAACCTTATTTACAAATGTCTTGGGGGAACTCCCAAAACAAACAAGTTTTTTCCCCAATTCAACATTTATTTGTTCTCATGTTTACACAAAGCTGACATATGTTTAAGTTTGATGAAGTCTCAAATTGATTATTTAAGATCGTTTGTTCAGATTCTCTGCAGTGCAAAGTTCCTGTCGGACACAACAGAATGGAGTGCCCCCATATCCTCACCTGATCACCACCACCCATGTCAGGGAGCCTGTGACACTTCCTCAGGCAGATCTGCACTGGCCTGAGCCTATCCTGGAGTAGGGTAGGGGCTGCTAGTCTACACCAGCTATCAATGGACTCCCAAAGGCCAAATAGTCAGAATACCCTCAACATGCCCTGCCTTCCTGATAGATCCCTTTGCCTGAGTCAGGTGGGAGGGGATGCAGAAGCAAGAAAGCTCCACCCTACAAAGGGAATTTTCACTTGGTCAGAGTTGACAGTTTCCGGTTCCTTTCTGCCATGAGAAAATCTGGCCATTTATTTTTATATGAGTACCTCAGGTCACTATACCATACAGAATATATGTAATTCCCCAGACCCTGATTTCTCATTCTGTTCAGGGCCTCCTGCGAGATTCAGGCTCAGGGATTTTAAGTATCTCAGGTCTCTCTACATGAATATCCACATCTAGAGACATGACACTTAGCTATGAATTTTAATTTGCATGTATCTAGTGAGAGTGAAGCCAGTTGAGGCTGCCTCTCTCTTCTCCATTAAGATTTTAAGGTTAAAACACAAACCTCACATTTCAAGGAATAAATTGATCACATCATTCCTTCCCTTTCCCCTATCCATTTCCAGAACTACACGTTTGTTGAGGCAATTTATATGAAGGGATTAATCTCTAGCATTAGACAGAGTGGGGATAATAACTACTAAAGAGTACAACAATCTCATCTGATATGGTAAATCCTACACACCAGCTTAGGTTTTAACTTTGCCTACCCAGGATTTTAGGAGAGGCTCACCACCATAGTATCTGAGCATCTGAAAGTGGTCAGGCTGTGAAGCGTATAGGCCAGTTCATGAAATCCTTACATGGATAAAACACAGACTGAAACAAATAGTGGGAGTTTTGCCTACATGAGGGCTACACCCTGCTGTCCTTCACCATGTATGGAGAAGCATGATACTATATTGACATATCCTCCATGTTGATTATATTTTACAGATCTTGAATCATACACAGTTTGTCCTATTTCCCCCATCCCTGCAAACATCTGATACATCAGAGCTAAGCAAGATAGAAATAAAAATATAAGTGCAGACAAACCAGTGAAGGAATGAAGGGAGCAATAATCCCACCAACCCGGGAAAACATGGAGCAGGAACCCATTCCAACATTCCTAAAGAAAAATACAGGTATTAATCTATGGTATTTGCAGGAGAGGAATTAAGGAATTTTTAAAAGATGTCAGCAATAAGAAAATTCTTGGTCATTGTACTATGCCTATGACAAAGTTTGTTGGCAAGGGAGGTATTGGAATGCTGCTAAAAGCATTCCAGTAGTGGAACTGTACACAGTGCTGAAGAACAGAGACCCTGTTCACAAACAGTTTCAGGCATTAGTGTAGCTGCCACAGTAGAGACAAAATCACTGTAAACTGTGATTTGGACTAGTGCACATTTTTTGAAATTGGGGATAAATGGCACTAATCCAAATCACACCACATATCAGATTTGTGTGTCTACACTACAGGTGTGCTGGTACTAGCTACACTGGCTGGCTGGCTACCAATGGCTGTACCTGGGGGAACCGCCAGTACAAAGTGCATCTATATGCTACATTCATCTGTCCACTCTCCTACAAAGAGTATGTGGCTCCACTACTCCCTCGTAGATCAAATGTCAGAGCTGCTCAAGTATATTTGTGAATGATCAAGTTGCTCTAAACAATTGCAGCCTCCTGAAGGTATAAGCCCCAACATCACTGGCTACACTAGCATGAATACTTAATGGAGTTGTCTTATGTTTACATAGCAGCTAGAGGATTTCAGGTGCTACTGCTATAAGGCCCTATGACTAACCACACAAGTTTTCCTTTAATTAAAGGAAAGTCTCTATGAGAAGGAGCTGTTAACAGGACAAAAATAAAAGTGGAAGTAATAAGGATTAGAGAGATGGGCAAGAGAAACCACCACCACAAAGTGAATTCAGATTACCTGATCACTGTAGGATAAAGCTCTGACGTGTAGATATAAACAATGTTAAATGCTGCACTGATTGTCAGTTTCCCCAATAAAGACAAAGAACGGCTGTTCACAACTGCAAACACTCCTGTGGCTGATAAAGAAAATGTGACCCTTGTAAGGATCCATAGCATACAGAAATGTCCTTTAAGTAATCACTTCAGTTACAAATGGAATGAAAGGGAATCTGATGAAGAGTTTGTTATGCTGACCATATCTGTCAGAGGTGCATACATTGATTATATGTGGCTTCAGTAGGGCTCTCAAAGCTCAAGAGAATTCAAGAAATCCATCCTTGGGGCAGCAGTAGCAAAAAAGTCACCTATCTGATTTTGTAAGATGTGGAGGGAAAATGCACCCATTTTCTTTAACTGTACAGTTAGATTGTATAACGAGGAAAAACTTCTTCCTTTGAACACCCTGTGAAATGTATTTTAGAATTAAGTTTTACATTGAAAAGAGACTTTCAAATCTGGCCTACAATTTTTTGGTTGGAAGCGGGGAGGAGGAGGGAGAATAATTTAACATCTAATGTCAGTCCAGGTGTTTCCCTTTAAATTAAGAAATCCAGTAGAAATAGTTTGTTTAAATGACTACAGTCCCCAGCACCACAGCATGAGAGCCAGAAAAAGCAAAGAAGTCAGTTTGTCTCACTGACCAAATTATGAAAAACAGTGAAGTTCAATTTTTTACTTAAATTCTGTTTTTAAATTGTTATAATAGGCATTAGAAGTAAAAGATAAGGTGACTGGTTTGAAAATTGTTATGACAATTTCTAAACATTTTCTGGGAGTACTGTTGGTAACAGCAATAAATGCTGAAGAGTAGCATTTGTACTATTGGTAAGCTGGTGGAAAGAACAACAGAAAATTTTTCAAAAGTGCTTAAGTGACTTAGTATCTAGGTGACTTTCGGTGGGACTTTCGGTGGGACTTTGGTTCCTATGTGATGGGTGATCTAAAATTGCTTCATTAGACAAAAAGATGGGAACTGCCATATAGGATCAGACCAGTGGCCCACCTAGCCCAGTATCCTGTTTGACAGTGGCCAGTACCAGATGCTTCAGAGGAAAGTGTTAAAATCCTATATAAAGGATAATGACAAAAAATAACCTATTTCTATTTCAGCCCAGGTAGTTAGTGATTGACATATACCCTGAAATTTGAGTTCTACCCCTTTAAAATAAACAATTATATTCACCACCGTCTAGTGCAGGGGTCGGCAAC